CAACAAGTTAGGTAAACATCTGCCAGCCTTGCTACATGCATAAAGGCCTTACCATTTCATCTGCATCCAGAGGTTTCTCTTCTAAGATGGTTCCGACAGTCACTGACTCTGCTTTTCCTAAGCCTTGCTTATTAATGAGGATTCCCAAACTTGCATTTCTTCAGCAGGCTAAGGACAGGGGACATAAGGTCTAGGTACACAGAGAGGTCCTTCATTCCTGGACCGCTCCCTGATTTTGAAAGAGCACAGGCAACAGCATCAAGAAACAAGAAAAAAGTGTAATAGTAAAGTAGCGGTGAAGCGAAGGGAAGGACAAGCTTATCCTACTTTCTTGGAGAACCTCCCTAAAACAAGTGCAGAAAAGTAAAAGGCACAAAATGTTGGTGGTGTTAATACTATAAAGAAAGAGGTTCAGGATCCACAGAGCCCTGACACATCCTGTGAAACGAGCTTGGATTAGACAGACTTCTCTTAAACAGTATGAATGTAATTGCTATGTGGACTTTAAACACTGAAAGAAAGACAAAGATTTCGTTCACTGCAAATACTTCTTCGTGTACCTTAATGACCAAAACTAAAATAGAGGCTGGATTTATTCTGAAACGTGGTCAGGAATTTTAAAACAGGCTTTTGTATACACAAACAAAGGGAGCATGGGAAACAAGAGCTTGGGAGTTACTTAAATGTCAAGGATTACATTGTACCAGGTAAAACTGAAATGTAACAGAGGGACTCAGTTTCATAAATGAAATGTCATCGCTTATCGGTACAAATTATGTAAGAAGGATGGAAAGGGAAACAGAGGTGGCACTTTGTCAGATGCATTTATAGCTCCAGCAAGATACAGTTCAGCTGCAAAGAGAGCAGTAGTAAAAAATAAAGAAAATAAAGAAAAACTGAAGTGGACATCTGCTGCAGCCTGCTCCAGCAACAAGAAAACAGGAATGAATTGGTCTCTCTCAAGGTAGTCAAAGCCACAGGACACTGTACTTGTCAGGAATTTAGCTGCCCGCACATCTTTTAACGAGCACCGCCAATCACTGGCCAAAGGTGTTCATGTGTTACACAGAAACCTGCTCCAATCTAGACAGTACAGTTTCTTGGCAAATGAACTAGAAAAATCCCCCAAACCCAGGAACTGTAGCTGAGAAATTAAAAGGAACACCAATGAACAAACTATCTGAATAGTAACATAGTAAAGAGTTTATTTGACTTAGAAAAGGTCTTTGACATAATTCACTGGACACATATACATTAAATATACAAATGCATACCAAAAGTAACCCAGAAGGCACACATTCAGCCAAGAAGCTCATTCAGAACCACACACCATTTCATGTCAGAAAGAAAGAGCCGTGAGCCCCAGCTTCATTACTGTCTGTCCAAAACCAGGACCACAAGTGTAGGCCCCATGGTACACCACACAGGTCAGCAAACTTGGTCTGGCAAGTCAAAGAGTAAACAAGATCCAGAGAACAGGCGTCCTCTTGGGATTGTCCAGGGTCAGGACACAGATGCCAAAACCAGCTAATCTTATTCTTTAAAATAGCAACAGAACAAGTGTCTCCCATCTCTCCAACCCCCTTGGAAAGTTAGTGACTTGGTTGGAAGACGTGGCATCTTGGTCAAGGACCAAATGATACCTTACTTGAAGACCGCTGTAGCTGCTGCTGTACCTTCAGCTTCCACTAGCAGACTTCTGACAGAATTCATAACCACTGGTCCTTGCCCGTCTGCCCCACAGCACCATCAAACACAGTTTATCTGGGGAGTGATAAAGATTCATTTTACAGGTCACAGCCTCAGGTTTCTAGCTCTCATCACGAACCACAATTAGCAAAACTAGTAAAAATAAATACGGTCACCGCACCCAGACTCAGATCTGTTGCCATAGGAGCAGCCAAATAGTCCAAGTTCAGCTGATCTTATCTTCAGGGAAGAACAAGTTCCACCAGAGTCTGAAACATTCACTCTGGATCAGCAAGGCTGCGTGCATCCCCAAAGAGTCACGCTAGGTTTAAGGAGCAGATTCATATCATGCAAGAAAGCAAGTTTGCTCTCTCAAATTAAGTAATTAAACAGCGCGTGATAAGCCTAAGGAATTCTACTAGCCCCTGGACTCAAGGCATAAGACTCAACTTCTATGACGGGAAGGAATTTAAGAACAACAAATGAATGGTACTTTTCAGGAACTGGTGTGGAAACAAACCAGGAGACAAACAAATGAGATACTCTCTCTGGAAAGGAGATCCTGTTAGTTGACAAGGTTAAAGAAAAGTGCTCTCACATCCGTCATAGGAAAGGGAAAGTAAAGCACGTTAATAAGAAAGCACAGAAGGAAAGGAAGGGCAAGTGAAATCAGTCTCTCGGAAAGTCACTCCACCCAAGATGAAGCAACAAAGACATAAAAACAAAGAGATAGAGGACTTCCTGGAAAACCTGACCATATATATCAACATGGTACTAATTAGTTAATTAACCTATTGCACAATTTAAAAATAAATAAATATTTTAAAAGTCTGGGAGAACAAGGAAGCACCAGATGACAATGTTCTTATCAGAATGAAAAGTGGAACAATGTTGGACTGATAAATTTATCTCTGATCTCTGCTAACAAAGCAAAATAAATACAAGGAGACAAAAAAAAAATCTCCCAAATGTCTGGAGAATAACGGAAGTATGGCAAAAATCAAGCCATTTTAGATAATCCTACAAACATACAATGAGTAGCTTTTGGCACATGAGCTGTACACCTGAAGCCAACAGGATAACTCATGTATTACTTCTATGTCCAAGTGATGGTGTCATTTCCAACATCTCTTTTCTCCCATTACCAGGAACAATTTTATGAAACACTGCTGACTATATGAGCTGACAGACTCAAGCTGTAAAACTACAGCTTATTCCCAGAAGGCCATATAAAATAGGTATATAGAGTAGCAAGCATTTAACCCACTGAGTGAGATGAGTATGTTCAACAGAGGGCACAATACCTTTGGTATTTTAGGGTCTCAAGACATTCTACAGGGTAAACTCAGAGTAAAACAGACCTGCTTGCCATTCAAGTTAAATACACTTCCAGGAAAGGCAGTTAATCAATCAATCAATCAAATTTTATCATCAACTACAGACAGCTGTTTCAGTGTAAGAACCACTACTGCAAGCCAGCACCTAGAAGAGTCTTTGGAACAGCTTGTTCTGTGTTGGGAATGCAGCAGTTGCCTTTGCTGTGAATTCCTGGTGCAGTGAAAAACCCAAATGGTTTCTCTAAAAAAAAAAAAAAAAGAAAAAAAAGAAAACTAAACCTGTGTTTTTCTGATGTCTGAAGAGTTCCTTGGCAAGTAAGTATATTAGTTTTCCTGTGTCTACTTACAATTAGGATTTATTTTTCTTAGGTATCACAAGAGGGCTTATTTTTGACAGGAGAGTATGTAATTTAGATGGCAAGAAAGCAGAGTGAAACATCAATCCACACACTAAAGAAACAAAAATAACCCACTTCTCCACTCTGTTAGTGGGTAGAACTGGAAAAGGGCCAGTGAACAAGAGGACAGAGGTGTCAAACAGGTCCCATATAATGAATAGCTATGTATACCATGAACCTGTAGCTCGGAAAAAGTGATGACTGAGGACATATATGATATAGGTCTGTAAAATCACAAATGGCAAGGAGACGAGGAATAGGGGTGGTCATCGCTACATCTGACAGTGGAAGAATTAGGGTCACTTGATGAAATCATCAAGAAAACGTTACAACAGCCTGACAACAAGTTCTTTTTCATACCACACAATGAACTCAGGGTCCATTGCCACACAACACACACTGTGGAGGCCAAAAGTAGAAAAGGATTGTTTAAAAGGGACTTAAGCGCATTCATTAAGGCCAGGTCCAGAAGGAACTGCCATTCAGGAAGTTCGTAGACTACTGGAATAATGTCAGAGAAAGACCTTTGTATACAAGCTTTATATTTTATGCTTCTGTGATCCTCTGTTACTGGCTGTCCTCAGAGACGGGACAGCAGATTAGATGGCCTTTGGTCTGATTGCATGCAGCACTTCTTATGGATCAAAAGCTCTTGATTTTTGGCATGATTTAGAGTTTGGAAAGGTTAACTGAAAAAAAAAAAAGGAACATTTGAAAAGCTCGTATGCCTCCTCTGCTTCCTCTTTCAGCCCTCAAAGATGTGCTCCTTAATCATTCAGTTTCCACGAATGGTAAAGTATTGCTGAATTAGCAACAAGCAGGATTTTGTAACAGCCACTGAAGGCTACATTATTGCTCCCAGATCCTGTCCAGTCTCAACTGCAGGTTAAACATCACCCTATATTCCATTTTTCCTCTTTACTACAGTCTTGCTAAATCATTTTGTTCGACTGCTATATTTATGACACGAAACAGTTAAGATGATACTAATCTGTTGGCCTCTGCTAGCTAAACCCTTCTCCCCAGCCACTGATTTCTGTGTGGATTAGTGACAACAGGAATCTACAGTAAGACTCCTTGTGGACAAAGAATTGCAATGCTGTCTGTAAACATCCTTATTTCACCCAGAATTTGCCACTTCGATTGGATTTAGCCTTCCAGCCAGTCAGACCAATACATTTCTGCAGTGCAGTAAACAATGCAACACAGTGATTCTGAGTCTGTAGCTAGACAGACTGAAGTAGCAGCACAAGTAAGTCAGAAAATCTCCTGCATTTATCTGGACACAGAGCGAGCTCTGAGACCAGTCATCACAGTTGTTTTTATATATAAAATATGTGTGCACACAGACATATAGACTAATACATTCATCACTAACCCTTGTTTAAGGGACAAACCATCCAAAGTCTATGCTTCAGCCAGTAAATGTGCTTTAACTGGAGGTGCCAGGTGCATCCAGGACTGCGCAGTGGCTTTACAGACCACTGCGTGAGGACATGGCTGTAGGTTCAAAATTGATCAAGAGGTTACTGTTCCAGCTTGTTCAGTCTTCAGTTCTCCAGACAATTATTCCCAATCAAGATAACACACAGGTAGATTGTTTGTTTTTATCACTTGTAGTGGAGTTTGGACCCAGGTTACCTGGAATGAAAAGAAGTTAAAAGTAATGTTAATTAAATAAAACCTGGATAAAGTCGGGACCCATGCTTCAAATCCTCTCTTGTTATTTACTGTATACCTTGTGTTAGACCTACATTACTCTGTACTCTCTCGTGATTTTATTTCCTACTACTGTGAAATGAAGTCACACTAAAATAAGAGCAAATTCAGAGTACATTGTGGAGAAAACCACTGGAGGAGTATTTCCAGGCTTTGGCTTGTACCCAGGCCAGCTTCAGTAGTATTCTTAGGTCCCAGCTGGCACTGAAAAACAGTCTGGCTATGACTTGGGTGGGAGGTTTTCCAAAGAGTGAGGAATGAAAAAAAAAAGTCAGGTCATCTCATCGATCTGATGCCCACAAGCATTCTCAGGAGACTTTTTTCATGTCCAGTTTTAAACATCTCAAGTGCCAGTATTTCCACCATTTCCTTTGCAAGAGAAATCCCGAGGCCTCAGGGTCTCTCAGTTAAGTAGCATAGTGTGCTGCCCCATTTTTTATCATCTTAGGTTTTTTTCTTCATTGCTCATTCTATGGATTCCTTCTGCTCCCAGTATCTGTACTTTTCCATGCTTGCACTGCTGTCCAGTTTCCTTCATTACAGCCAACTGTTGGACTGGATGCCCCAGCATATTTTTTTCAAGCGCTGTACTGAAGTGTGTTTGCAGAGGCTTTTGCAAGTAAGGGAACTGTGCTGCGTGCTGAGCTCAGCAAGGCTTGCATGACCTGTGACCCAGGGCAGTATGTACTGAGAGGGGCTGCCAGGTGGCTTGCAGTCACTCTAAACAAGGGCAAACCCCACTGATTTATTTCTATAGAAGGGAAGTATATGTGCATATCCCAAGCATCTCTCATTGGCAGTTGGAGCCAGTGGCCAGTACAGAGTGAGAACAGGGAGGGAAAACTGCCACAGGTCATGGTGACATGCTAATCAGAAGTCTCAACTTTGCTGAGATGAGGGAGCTTTCAACCCAAGCACTGCCTCTGAACTGGGCTTCAACTGAATAATTTTTCATGTCACTCCCTTTGCTTGTGGGTATTTGATTAATGTTTTTGTCGCCTGTAGGTGACGGAGAAGAGAAGAGCTCTCTCCTCTCCTCCTCTTTCTCTCCACCTTCTTCCACACTGCAACTTTTTGATATCCATGTGAGAGGCTGCACTGCAACCTGCCCTCACTTTTGTGGCTGCTCTGTATGCCACTGCCTCCTCCTCTTTTCTCCCCATGGCATTTCATTCTACCTCCTGTCCCCTCTTTGACCCATTCTGTATGTTACTTTTAAGTTTATTATTAATCCTGTCTCCTCACCACCCCTATTCCCCTCCCTGTCAGTATCACATTCAAGACAAGTGCCTGTGCTCCTCAGCTTAATCTCAATTCCCGACTCCTTCATTCTTCTCACTTTCTACTCTTGTCTTCTGACCTTTTTCTACAGATCCCACTACAGTTAGCGCAAACACCCTCCTTGTATGTAGCAAACAACGTTCCCCTCTTTCTCTTTAGAAAAGAGGCTGAAAATTCCAGTTACCACCTGTCCATTATCCCACTTTGGCTGAAAAACACTGGTGATTGATAACTAAGCAGCTATTTCTGCGCTATTGCAGTGCCCAGCGTAAATCTCATTTCTTGTTGCAAGAAGCACCCAAAAGTGAAACACAAAATCCGGCTATTAAGTATATGTGTTCTGCAGTCAACACTCATGAGGAGTGAAGGCTGATGTATGGAGCAACTCGGGACAGCAGACCCTTCTGAACGAGCCCACTTCTTGCAGGGGAGAAAACAAAACAAAAAGCCAGTGCCTTCCAAAGGTACACAGCTTTCGAACCCTTGCAGTATTTCCCAGAAACTGCACACAGACATCAGTGTCTTTGCTGATCACAGTCTGCTCAGCAGCAGCTTAAAATTAACAAGATTCTGGTCAGGTTCAGAGCTGCTGCTGTTGTGTTCCTAAGTGGGCAACAGTGAAATTCAAGAGTTGTGTCAATTTGATGATGTGGTTTAAGAAAGCCTTGTAAGATATATCACAGTCTCCATGTAGTGTGCTAGGACAACACCTCAGGATGTTAATTCAGACACTTAGTTTGGGGCATTACTATCTGTAGCCCTTGTATTTTCCAGGCTCCCAATTCTGACTTGTAGATATCCTTTTCCAGCATGTAAATACCCCAACAGATTTTCAGACTCTGTTGCAGAACACACTTTCATCACTTTGCTTCCCAGTTTGGATTCTCTTCATCACCATTTGCTCTTAGAATACTGAACCTGACCTTTAGCCTGCTTGAATAATGTCTTTCAATTACTCTGCAAGCTACTCAGGGTGTGGATCTGGTCTCTATGCATCTGCAAGGTGGGATGTGTCTCAGTGGTACTACAGAATTAATAGTGACTTTGGAGGATGTGTGCACAGGCAGGCCCACCGGGCTTAAGTGTGCTGTTTAATCTTTACAAAAGGTAAGGGCAGCTATTTCAAACTGTGAAACTCTGAATAATTGCATCCTAACCTGACTGCATACCAAGCACCTTCTCCCTCTTTCATTTCCACTTCTTACCTCCCAGAGTATCACAGCATCACTTTTTACAAGACCTGCTCAAAGATAACTTCAACTTTTAAAACTAAGTCAGTCCTACAGTTACCCAAGAACAAAGTGCCTCCTGTTTTTGTCTTGAAGCTGGAACTCTGTTTCATGCCCATGTTCAAGAATTTTTTATTAAATCCTAATGAAGCACATCCTACTGATCAAGCAGCTGCAGGATCCTCTGTGGTAACTCATTTTTTTCTTCCTTCTCATGAGTCTCTATCTTTCTAATGTGCCCGCTACCATCTCTGTTCACATGCCACTTTGGGACCACTAGACTAGAGAAGCTTTCCCTCAAGAACAGTGATTCGATTCAAAAGCAACAGACAAGCAGTGATCTTCCTCCAGCCTTTTACAACACCAGACAACCTAAATCTACTTACACCATACTTCAAAAGCTGTGGAGTCTCCCATTGCCACCATGAACAGGCATTCTCAATTTGCATAAAACAAAAAATACTTGTATGGACTCCTTGGAAAGACTTATCAAGTCAGAAAGGGCATGGCAGGAAGGCTGGTGTGCTGGACCTCTGCACCTTCCCTGCACCTGTTCTCAATGCTTCCTTCCCCTTTATTGAAAGCAGTGGCAGCCCTCTGGAAGTAGCAGTGGCAATAAATAAAACCTGAACATAATAGCATGATAGTGTCTTTCTGGAAATGCTCCAGACCAAGCATCAGACTGTCTGGCACAGATCCAGTGTGTTAAAAGGAATAGGGACATCCCTGCTGCCCTGACTGTGCAATGCCGCAGAAGGGTGCAGTGCCCCACTGTTCAACTACAGACATCAATCTCTTTCGTGCCTAGATCTGGGCCTAATTTCATCATGACATTGCGGGAATAGCGGGCTGACTGCTTTGAAACAGCTGACAGTGAGAAACGTAGGGAATTTGATATTGTAAAGTGGTGACAAATCAGAGATCACACCATTCTCTACTTCTGTCACTAGAGGGTAGTGCAAGCCCTCAGGTCCATTCCTCCAAGAGGAAATGCCCATACATCTCCCTATAGGTCTTCACCAACGTTGTTTTTCCTGGCTCTGAGGAATGGGACCCAACATCATATACTGTCTGATCTGAAGCCAGAAAGTGATTTGGAGAGAGGTCCTCTTTAGACCAGGGTTTACTTCTGCCTCCACAAACGCCAAACGCACATCCTAAATTGGGTCTACTATAGTCTTAAATAAACTATCCATGCCTTTTTACAGTTCCTCTCTCTTGCAGTCATTTGGCATTTTTGAGCTGGTCCTTCATTCAGACAGAAATATTTCTAAGAACCCAATCAGTCGCTGTTATTGACCTTCACAATACCTTGATTTTCTTTTTGGTCTCAGGAGAATGTCTTTTCATTTCACATCATGGCAGTCTCAAGGGAATTCAGTCTTTCTGCATTTTGCATTTGTCAGAGCACAGAATGGTCTCTGGCCAGACAAGCTGAGGAGAAATTTTCTCCCTGGAACTAGTTTATTTTCCTGCTGGCACAGGGTGTATTGACACTCAGCACAGGTCACTGAGAGAGGAAGACAACCAGGCTGAATAGTCCATAGATTTACTTCAATCTGACAAAACATCTAAAATGTGGAGAAGTTAGCTATGAACCCATAAATTGGGAGAAATCTTTATCATTTGTGTCTTCAACTGGATGAAGCCTTGGAAGGACTTCGTGAAAATATGAATCGTGTTAGCAAAGAAAGAAAAGTTGAGATCTAGTACTTCTCCATAGCTTCTATTTTCATGACCTTCTCCCCCATTTCAGAAGGTGATAAAGGACCAAATTAAAGATTTCCACCCTCTCCTCCACTCCTTGCCTCCTCACCTCAACATAAACACGTTTTCCTCTCATTTCCACCTGTAATTTGTCACAGTAAACACACATGAATAACCCAAATGAGGAAAGGAGGGGTTACACCGAAAATCTGTCTGCATCCTGTTAGCCACCACAATGGTGAACATACTCTGCTGTTTATTAGGGCAGTGCACTTTATGAGCTGTACACACAACCTGTTTTACACAAGGAGACATTGACCTTTCTCTCCCTTTGTCCCATACCTGCTTGCTGAGAAGTATGAGAAAACATTTACATGAGAAGTACCAACTTTACAATAAGACTGCCATTAAATTGCCTTCAACTTAAATTGCCTGTATCATTTGATACAACTTCTACTCTTCTTTGATCCCACTCATTTTAATATAGAGGAAATAACAGGATCTACTCACAGGTGCCTATATTGAATATGTTTACACCAATTTCCCAAACTCAGAAGAAGGGACACAGAAGCAGAATATGCTAGTAGAAGAGGTTTTACCCGAGATGCCTCCAGTACTCCGAACACTGGCATGGCCAATGCTGAGCCGCTCGTATTCCAGTTTCATGTTCCCAAGGTCTTCTCCTGAATGTCCTTCACTGGCAAAAGAATTGGCCTCAATGCTTGAGCCTGGAGACCGTTTGGCCTTGCGACTGAAAATCCCACTGGCAAACCGTTTTCCTTGCTTTGAATTGGCCTGTGCATCTTCTTTCTTCACATCACGAATAGACTCTCTGGATTTGGATTTATTTTTCAGGTCCATGTGGAGCCGGGAGAACAGTTTCTGAGGGCTCCGATTCAGCTTGTTCAAGTTTTCCAGAGGTGGATCAATTTCTGGGAACTCTTGCTCCAGTGTGACTAAGTCATTCAGAAACTGATTTAACCGTTTCTTTGACTCACTTGTTTCCTCCTTTTCCATGTTACCCTGATTATCCTGCCTGTGTCGTGAAGCCCAGAGCATCATATCACCACGGGTTGCCCCTGCCACTAAACCATACTTGGGGTTAATGAACTTCCGAGCCACGGTGGAGGAATGAAGGCCTGGTTTCCCAATTCCAAGAAGGAATGGGTTAGGAATACCCAGTTCCTTGTAGAAATTAACTTCCTCTGAGATGGCATAGAGCTCACGAAACTCAACGTCAAACATCTCCACATGCTGTCCTGTCAAGACTAGCAGGATGTTTCTGTCAATGTGGGATGAACTCCATGTGAAGCTGCAAGTAGGAAACAGAACCAACATTAGATTTTTGGGTGCATACTTCACCCAGCCCACCTAACAATATCTAAGACACTACACGGGAATATGTAGCATTGTGCCATTTGCCCATACATCCATGCTAAGATGTGCCAGGATAGATACATGAAGCTTGCTATTATTGTTCTTCATTAGGCATACAGACCACATCTGGAAGAAAAGGCCCTAAAACTCCGAAGGACAATTTACCCTTTCAAAAAACAACACTGCATCAACAGGAGGAGTCTCTTGGCTGAAAACCTCACTGAAGTGGCTGCTGGGGAGTCCTTGCAGACCACCACCTGATGCAGTGTGGAACTATCTCTAGCCCACTGAAATGGTCTACTAGCATAGGCATGTTCCGTTCTCTCAGGGGCAACTTGTGCTCTATGCTACCTTCTCTGTTGTCCCAGCTGAATTTCTACAGATGCCACACAGATTACAGAGGCTGGGAAAAGAAAGGGAAGAAGACTCTCAAGCAAAGCCACAAGCATACAAAGAATGTAGCTTTGCCTTAAGCAAGAGCAACCCACCTGTATGATCCAGTGGCCACCTTTTCACCATCCACCATCAGGAATCGGGATGCCAATGTGCCTCTGATCTTCCCTGCTGGCATGTAGAACCCAACTCCTGTCACAGAACGTATACGGATATTCTAACAGGGAGGTGAAAAGACAAAATGTCACAATAAATAGGGCAGAGAATTAGATAATTGCCAGCTCCAAGTCTTAACATGTCGCTCACATTATGTCACTACTTCTGGGACTACAGCTCATTTTGTATCAGCCGCCAGAAATCAGAAGGGCTGCAGAAAGGAAAGCATAGTGCCGTAAGACCTGTTGTCATCCCCTGTCTATGCAAGTCACGCCCCTCCATCAGTTTATAGCCCTGTCCAATGGGTCAGCATCTTTGTAACCCTGCCTGTTGTCTTCAGCTATTCATCTTAGCCCACTGGCAAGACAATGTTTTCAAAATCAAATAATCTTCCATCTCCAGTCCTGTGCTGTAGCTCAGAAGGCCCAGCCCAGTTCAGAGGAATGAAACAGAGGAAGCTCTGAGTCATGTCTGCACTCTGAATCCTGATCCCTATTCCATGGCATGGAATGAGCTCTCCTCCAGATTATGTTAGCAGGACCACAAAACCAAGGAATTTTACAACACCTGTGCAGTGCAGTTACTTGGAGAGTAATGTATGAGACAGGTCTACATTAGGTTCTTTTTGTGCTTGTGTTCTGATTCTCAACAACACATGGCTTGACAAAACTGGGCAAATTAGAAGACCGGACAATTTCGTTATTACAGAAGAGAGGAGGAAACAATTCTGTCAGTCAAAAGATGGATGTTTCCTGTCTGTTATAACAAAATGAGAACCCTGACCTTAATAATTTTGCTAAGAACCCCAAACAGTTACAGTGTCCACAGAGATTCCTCACTGTTTAACAGACAGTGAAAAAACACTGAACTTTTTTTGAACAAAAGGAGTAGGATAAGTATCTCTACTGATGTCCTGAATAGGTCAGCAAAGAACTTCTGAAGAAGAGGAAGGAAAAACTTTTCATGAAATGAATGGAAGTAGTTAGAAAAAGATAATGCCTCTTCCCAAACCTCCTCTCTCACACCCTTTGGCCAGCAAACATACACGTAATAAAACAGAGCAATACCAAGCACAGAGATAACACAGATTTAAGGTTACATGATTTTCAACAACAGATGTGTGCCTGCGCTTACTATAAGAATATATTTGCACATTGAACTGAATGTTACTCTGCTCATGGGGCCTGGCTGCATGAGGCCAAACTACCTAACATGAAACACACCCCCTCCACCCCGCAAAACCCAAAAGCATTGATTGTCAGTGTAAGTTTAGAGCAAATAATCTTGTCACTCTGACACACAAATTCAGACCATTTTCTTCATTCCACCATCTGTTTCTGTAAGAATTCTTTAACAATGAAAAGCTAAAAGGTATTGTGATTTGGAGTAATAAATCCAACCCTGGGAGTCAGTCCCAAGGGTAATCACAGTTCTGACACTATTCCCTGTGATGTTCCGGAAAAGTCAACTCACCTTTGCCTCATTCTTCCCCCATGTGCAGAGCAGCAGAATCATAAAGTTTTAGCTAATGCTAGCACAGCCTTGGATCCCACAAAGAGCTAAGTCCTATTATTATAAATCTCACTGACAGCTTAAATATTGATAGGCTATAGAAATCAGCGCGCAGGAATGAGTGATTATAAGAATGCAGATTTCCTTAAAAAAACCATACTCTTACCTTTTGAATGCGTTCCTATTTCCCCCACTAAAATACAGAAGTGGCAGTACAAGTTCTAACAGTAACTGATGATATTACTATTTTGCATTCATCTATTGCTTGATCGGTCTGGAGTCCTGGGTGGGCATTAGCTAATTAATGTCCCAACACTACTGAAAGTATCATTACCCTGTTTTTAAGATAAGGAGCCTGAGAGAGAAAAAGATGAAGTGACTTGCCCAAGGCCTAGCAGTGAGTCATATGCGTGGGATGCTGAATGCAGGTTGGATAGAGCACAGGAGAAAGGGTGCCCTTTCCAGTATTTAGAATAACATTTGTAGTTGGCTGCCTGATCACCCGAAATATTTTTTTTTCCGTTGCTGAGTAAAGTTGGATGTGGTATTTGCCAAATCATGGAATATTGGCTGCAAGTGTCAAGAAGGACCTCTGTTCTTCAAATCAGTCAACAGCTCTGACATGTCACGTATGTTTGTGAATCAAGAAGTATCAGCCTGTGTGAGCAGAAAGTTTCTTAGCATGTAAAAAGTGTGGATTTTTTTGTATGTTATATCATCTTCTTTTGGTGGAAAGAAAGCACATTTGAATTCCTGCAGTAACTGAGCTACACACAACACTTAGAAAGGCACAGAGGTGATAGAACCAACCACCTGAACATATAAACCTCCTTGAACAAAGTAGGCACAAGAGTGCATAAATACATCTTGAAATGCAGAAAACAAGCACAAAGTCATACAAACATCGAGTCACTTAACAGGTTATTTGTATAATGTTTTCTGCCTTGAAGGATCTTGGAGCACTTGCAGACTGATGTATCAAGGTGTACAGAGGAGGAACAAGCCTGGGTTCATCTACTGAAGACTACACAACAACAAAAGAGGAAAGACAAATACAAATGAGGTGAGATTGCAGCCATTTTTTGGGGGTACTAGTGTTACAATAGTAACAAATATTTTGGGTAGAGGACCAGTTAGTTCACCAGATAGAAGTGACCCCTCCAGATCTGTATTCTTGCAGAAGCCTGCTTAATGCTTGTCGTATCGTGGCTTATGGAAGCTGCAGTCTGCATTAAATTTCCATATTTCCTTTACACAGGCTTGCACCACTCCTCATCACAAGCAGTGACTAATGTCTCCCTGGCAGCAACTTAATACAGAATGGTAAGAGTCAAGCCTGACAGAGCATCCTAATACAAACAGTGAAGGAATCAGTCTTTCTTGCTTTATTGTGACGCACTTTTAAACCTCACCCTGAATCCAGAGGAAGCTAAATTAGACCCAGTTTAGAAAGTCAGTAATAGGTTGTGTTGTCCCTGACACTTAGCTGTCACTTGACAGACTTGGGCAGTAGTGCTCACAAGCTGGGATAGATTAAGGGGGATACAAGACGGATCCTAAAGGGAAGCATTGTAAGTACTTCCACACAGGAATCCTGTGTGTACCTTCCCTCTTAGAACAACCGCTGATGTACACGTTGCAAAGCAAGCAGGGCTCTTTATTTCAAGCTGGGATGGATGGCATGGACGACCTCAGAGGCAACAGACAAAAGCAGTACCTGATAGATGACAGTGACTCAACAGTCCCTTATACTGCCTGTGTTTTTCAAAATGTGGAGATGCCCTTTCTGGTGTGCCTGAAAAAATCAGGTCCCCTCCATCAATAAAATCTGTTGGGGTAGATTCCGTCCTTTGTTTTCCTGTACTACTGCTTCACCTGAGCACTGGGCTGAGGGCGAAGCCGCCAATGCCTGTTATTTCCCACTCTAAGATCTTAGATGGAGGTACCACAGAAGGGGGAAAGAGGAAGAGAGACATGGGATTCACGTGGACAGGACCACAGTAACAACAGCAAAGGAATTTTTCTTATTCATGGTCTGCAAGATTCTCATCTCTGGTGATCAGACCTCTATCTAGGTCAGAGAGTTTGGTGGTAGGTGCTAATCTTACACAGGGACACAAAAGCAGCCACAATCTGGAAGCAGCCACCAAGTAATGCTGGGAAATACTGTGGACTTATCCTATGTGTTTGCCCTGAAAAGTTCTGGAAAAGGCAAGCTTGTTGACAAAATAGTAAAACTTGCAGGTATTCAGTTAGAATAGGAGGGAATGCAGCTAGCTGAACATGTCCTGCCAAGGTCGTTACTGGGTATTATTTGGGTCTTTGCAAAAAGAAAGCTTTGTAAGCCCCCATTTTCAAAAGGTCACAAGCAGCCTAGAGGAATTCTCTAACAGTTAATTAAAAAACAAACAGCACTGCATCACATTACATTCAGATTCTCCCTCCCTTGAGTTAGGAATCCATGCAGAAAGACATGAAATTCCAAAAATTTCTTAGGCAGAAACTTTTAAGAATTCCTGGAGAGAGGGGAGGAACTCCTTACATGTTGGGGAAAATGAATGTAAAAATTAACATGAAGGTGAACTTCCTGCAGGTAACTCATTCCCTGGGCTTGCCTGGAGCTCTAGGTGAGCTCCCCATCTTTGAGCAGGAGTGTCTGTTACCAGGTCTTGGTTAGCAGAAGCATGGGGAGAAAGAGAACTCATCTGAAAACTAGTGAGAACACTTACTCTCAGGTCAACAAAAAGTGGTCTTTCTGTGGGGCTATGAATTTTGTATCTATGAGAACTTTGATTCATTGTGATCTCCAAAGAATACTCTTGTGTCAAACATAACAGACGTCTGGCAAACCATGTCCTGTAGGCTCAGGAAGCCATATGACTCATACACACAAGATTTGCTCTTACTAACATTCCCGGATAAATGTGACGATGGTTGAATTTAAATGCATTTCTAGTGATCTCTGGCCTTCAGAGAAAAATTGAGGTTTCCTCATTTCATGCTTGGGGTCAGTAAACAACTTTTTGTCTCTGCGGAGTGAGGTACTGTCTTCCTACAGCAGTTTCCCTCCTGTGAGACTTTCAGCAGATTGTGATACCTTGCCATGTCAAAATGATACAATAGCCAGGAATTTTGTGAAAACACTCAGCACTGTATGTATACAAAGGGCAAAATACAGTGTTAACAGTAAATCTCCCTGTATTAGGACCATTGAAGTATTCTCTCTGCACTGGATGAACAGGGCAATGGAAACAAAAGGGCAGGAATCACAGAACAATCTGAGCATCTGGTGATGACAGAAGACAGAATAAGCATCCTGACCCTGCAACAATGACAGCCCATGGTAGTCTTTTTCCCTGGGATCAGAACTTGCCTCTGAACCTTACAAGTTTCATCCCACATTGCTGCAACTTTCTGAGAAACAGCCATCCTGTAAATCTTGCAGAAGCATTCCAAAGGAAAAGTGGGAAGAAGGGCAGGAAGGAAGAGTATGCAATTCCTTTGCTGACAAACTGTGGCCCACTGGTGAAAATCTTTTAGAAGAAAGTGAAATGGTTACACAAAAAGACAGTGTAAGGAGAGAGTGTTTTCCCTGTTGCTGAAAATCTGTTGAAGAAACTCAGACATCAAAGCAGATGTCAGGAGAAAGACATCTCATAAATAAGAAATGGGTGGATGACAGTTAACTGCACTAGAATTTCTCGTTCTTTCTCAGCAATTCCAACATTCTCTGTGATCATGCAGTGCGGGACAAAATGATTTTACCTGAACAAGACCAGAGGCCCATCTTGCTTCCTTGCTTTAAATCTGGGTCTTCAACACTAAAAGTTCAAAACAATCCTTGACACATTACATCAATGAGGTGGGGTGGGGGGAGTCCTCAAGAGGAAGCCTTACCCAAGGAATCTCAAGCAAAGTTATCTAAAGCCTGGTGTCAAGAAAATCACTATGTGGTGATTTCTGTCATACTGACCCCAGCAACAGCATAGATACATCCAATGAAGCCTTGGGCAGGATACTAAGAGGCCATCTTCCCTGAGAGGCAAATGACCTGTTTCCCATTATAGGAAGACTCTTTCCAGTCCTTTCATAGACAGGAATAACCTGTATTGACCTTAACAAGGTTAACTAAAGCCTTAGCCATACTAGAAAAGGAACACAACAACCTCAAGGGGAATTTAAGATACAGTATGAGACATCTGGGAAAAGAGGGGAAAAAGTTGAAGGACAGCATTCTGTGGGCTAGAACTCTGCAGAAGAGTGAACAACTAGGTAAAAGAAGGATGGTAAAAAGTTCTTCTCAGTGGACCTCCTTCAGTTCAGCTTGTATTTGGACTTCTTTTAGCGGAAGGAGTCTAATGAAAAACATAGCAAGGGCTGCTTTGAGAGAAGGGAAGCACAGAAGGGACATGGAAGAGTTTTCTCCTGCTTTTGATGGCATCCATTCAAACTCTGCCCTTTTGGAAAGGGTAACGCAACTAGGCTGTTGCAGGACCTAGTCACTACTGTAGCATGCCACTGATGATTGCTTTTGGAGTGCAAAGTCTGTAGAGATAGCTATGGAGAAAGAGGTAAGAGGAAGAGCAGAACGGGAGCGCTTAACTGTTTAAAGACAGGAAAGGCAGACAAAAGGAACTCACCTCTCCAATAGCATTGCAACATTTTCTAAAACGCCAGGGCACTCACTCTATCCAGGAATTAAAACATGCAGTACTGAAGGCATCATTCCTGCACATGATGACATAGTGAAGAAAGTACTGGGAAACAGGTACTGGAGCAAATGGAACTACTGCTGTGATTTCATGATTTTGTACCAGAGAGACTCAAGCCTGGGCCACAGAATACCCCTGAAGCTTGAAACAGGTCTGTTATAATGATGTCTGTGTCTTGCTTTCAAAGAAATCAGGGAAAGAAACTGCCAGCTCTGTTTTGGAGAAAGATGAGAAAGCTGCTCAGCTGGACGTCTTTTTTGATGAAGTCCAGAAACTCAGTGCAGAGTGGTAGTTCACAGGAGCACTGTTCATATATATGCAAGTCATTTTCATCCAGATTTCACAGAATCATAGAATCTTTGGGTTGGAAGGGACCTTTAAAGGTCATCGAATCCAACACCCTGCAACGAGCAGGGACATCTTCAACTAGATCAGGTTGCTCAGAGCCCCGTCCAACCTGACCTGGAATGTTTCCAGGGATGGGGCATCTACCACCTCTATGGGAAACCTGTGCCAGTGTTTCACCACCCTCATTGTGAAAAATTTCTTCCTTATAACTAGTCTAAATCTGCCCTCTTTTATTTTAAAACCATTACCCCTTGTCCTATTGCAACAGGCCCTGCTAAAAAGTCTGTCCCCATCTTTCTTATAGACCCCCTTTAGGTAATGAAAAGCTGCAATAAGGTCTCCCCAGAGCCTTCTCTTCTCCAGGCTGAACAACCCCAACTCTCTCAGCCTGTCCTCATAGGAGAGGTGTTCCATCCCTCTGACCATTTTGGTGGCCCTCCTCTGGACCCACTGCAACAGGTCCATGTCTTTCCTGTGCTGAGGGCTCCAACGCTGGACGCAGGACTCCAGGTGGGGTCTCACCAGAGTGGAGTAGAGGGGCAGAGTCACCTCCCTCAGCCTGCTGGCCACGCTTCTTTCGATGCAGCCCAGGATATGGCTGGCCTTCTGGGCTGCGAGCACACGTTGCCAGCTCATGTCCAGCTTTTCATCCACCAGTACCCCCAAGTCCATCTTGGCAGGGCTGCTCTCAATCCCTTCATCACCCAGCCTGTACTGATACCAGAGGTTGCCCTGACCCTGGTGCAGGACCCTGCACTTGGCCTTGCTGAACCTCATGAGGTTCATGTGGTTCTCCTAAAATGGTTAATATGAGCCTCTATATATATGAGCTCTTCAGAGCTTTCTGAGTTTTGGTTGTGGTTTTTTAGACTATTAACTGAATGTTCATGGAAGATCTGCCCTTCCTCCAGGCAAAAAGACATTTCCCCCCTGCTACTCAGAAGTAACAGCTGGATCACAAGAGGGGCGAGTCTGGCATCCCATAGGTTTCCAACCTAGCAACTTTTTCAGTATTCAGAAAAGTCTGTAGTTGTAACAGGGACTAAAAAACATGAAAAAAGCAAGGAATACAATACTAACTATAAACACACAAAGGATTTCAGTCTGTAACGGAATGAGATCCTACTGAGACTGCTTCTGCCAGCCAAGCTAGGCTGAATACTCTGCTGTGTTGCATGCACTATAAGAAGGCATACTCTGATACGGAACTGGGGAGCAGCTATGCTCCTCAATCCCTTATGTTCTCAGGCAAAGGAGGACTACAAGCTCATTCAGTCCCAGGTGATCACTGCTGGATAAGAAAGTTGATTTCAGAGTATTTATGTCCTAGAAACTGGGATCCATGCAGACAACAATTTAAAGAACTACTCTGGACTCTAGTTTAAATTCTTGCACAGAAGACCCACAGGTATTTCCTCACTCTATTTTATTCTCAAACAACAATTTTTAGGTCACAAGAGTCAAGAAACTACATAGACCTCTGTCTCAGGTGAAAGACAAAAAATCCAAATCTTTTCTTTCTCTTTCCTTCTCTATTAGCAAGCCACTCTCTTATCCTTCTATGTTTAAGTGCTGTGATGTGACTTGTAAGGAGAAAGAGATGTGTCTGCCTGTCCAAGTGAGTTCTGGGATTCATTACAACTGAAAAAGGCCACTGACCTGCAGGAGATAACAGTCCAGTATTGAATGTCTTACCCGGATCTGCAAGTCACTGAGGTCAAGGCATCTGCACATTTCCAGGAAGAGCTTCACACCCTCCTCATCTAGGATTATATAGACTGGGATCCAGCGCTTATATGCTGCATCAACAATATCGCGGAAGATGTCCCGGTCTGTAAATACATCCATGACCACTGCAATAATCTGGAAACAAGAAGACAGTACACAGACAACTGAATAAAATATTTGGAACTGAAAGGGAGGCCCATTACGCTGGTGCAAAATAAAGGAGAGCACTGATACCAGAATGTGGAGGAGGAGGATATAGGTGAGACAAAAGTACAGGGATGTACATGCCCAAGCACTACCAATAATCTTGTAATTTTCTGGCTTGGCTCCTGCTGCACTTTGGAAGGAACTTAATAAATGTCTTTGAGAGTTCTCCTTCTTCTGAGGGAAGATGGCTTATTTCAGCAGCCTGAGGAATGCCAAAGCCAAATACCTAGTTTTTCCTCTGTATTGTGAAACTTTTGTTGCCTCTGTTAGGATCCATTTAAACAAAGAACACCACTGCAAATAGATTGAAAAAGAAGAGTGAAAAAAAACCCACAGCTCTAGCACTTAATCAGAAGGTGAGTAATGGAAGAACGAATGTGCAGAGGAATCAGGGCCTGACTCCTTAGCCATGGTGCATAGTGCAGACAACAAGAATTTTATCTACCTTTTTTCTCAGTTCCCTGAGAAGTCTGCTCTCAGGGCTGGCTTCCTGAGGAATGTCTTATGGAGCTCAAACACAAACACTTCATATTTGTCAGGAAGGCACTGGAGAGTGTGTGTGTGTGTGTGTGTGTGTGTATGTTCAAGATTTGGAGGCAAAATGATTGTTCCCTCTCTTCACATGTACATTTTTTCTGGTATAAAACTAATCCCTCTTTCCAGGCATATATTTTACATAAAAACAAAAGGTTTCACTGATGTGACAGACAAGCCTGAACACTCATAGGATGAGTAACAACAAAACCAAGACGGTTATGGGCAACTTGAATGCTGATCTTACATGCTTTGTCTTTCTCTCCCTTTCTGTATCTTTTACACCATTAGAAATAACAATTCACTTTTCTGCCTGAAAGAGTTATTCTCCCCAACATTTGAAAGGTTATGAATGAATGAAACTACTGTTTTCCTAGTCTCTCTGGGAAACATCAACTTGCCAGGTTAGAGCTCTCATGCTGACAGTATGCTGGAAGTAGAGTTGCCTAAATTTTCATTTCCCAGGCGCTGGGGTCATGGTGACAAGCCAAGCTATGCTGGGGATGGCACATGCAGGTGTGAATGGAGCTGAAGACTGGATCAGACAGTAGGATTTTAAGTTTGGAAGAGGGGCAGCTCAAGTTGCAGGAGCCAGAGCCAATAATTCTCCCCAGAGACCTCTTGCCTTTGAAAAATGCCCTTGAACAAATTGCTTTTGGGAAAGTGATGCCACAGTAAATGTCCCCTTCTGTGTTTGCTGAGTCCCTGCTTGTACGGCCAACAACAACCAACACATCTGCTCTGTCAGGCTCCTTCTGTCAACAGTGCTTACACAAGCTTTGTTAGAAAAAGAAAAAAAGTGCTGACATTGTATTTATGCTCATTGTTAACATGTAGGTTCCTGATACAGGTGAACTATGGGGGAGCTACATTATACTAGTAGTAAGTCCCTCACTAACTTCTACTAGATAGAACTGGATTTCACCTTCTTCCTTGGTTCTTACTTCCCAGCACAAAGCAGCAAGATGCAGGGAATGTAACAGAACCTCTGAAAATTAAAATACAGTGAACTTGTGCCACTTTCTTCCTGAACAACTTCATATACAGGCAGATTATAATTAAAGGCATGAAAAGTTCACACATTAATTCAGGCCTGTTATGCTCCCTCTCCCCTCAACACAGTGTGGTATGGATGTAGTTATTTAGCAGCAAGAATGCCAGATAATATTCATTTGAAGTAAGAACATCCACATAGGGAATTGATCAAGAATGGATAGCAGAAGTGTGAATTTGTTTTCTTTCCATCCCCTCCATTTGCAATGAGTCCAATAACTGCAGAAATTACACCATGTCCTGGACAAATCATTAATTGTTAGTACTGGCCTTGCAATACAAAGGGATGATTCCCTCTGGGCTCTGGGGCCCTGGGTCAGTTCAGGCTTCTTCGCAAGACTGTGGACTAAACTCATAAAAACTGCAGTCCTGTACGAAAAGCAGATGAGCTGCCTTGCAGATGTGCATAGCTGTTGTTATCTTAGTCTTCTCAAACCCCTGCCACAGCTGGTGATCTGTCAAGATTACCTAGGAGCATTCCTAAATATGGCAAGTCAGAGCATGAGTGTTTACCCCTGCAAGAGGTTTTCCCCATTCCTCTACCTATCCTATGGATCATAAACTTATCTATAGAGCCCATAGGTGTGCCTAGCTCTTCATAGATATTTAAAGATTGGCAAGCATTAACTTGCCAACCTCATTGCGGCAAGGTAGCTTAATTAACCTATGTTTGTAAAACACTGATGATAAGCTACCTACAGACATGTGCCACGAATTACTAATTATCTGTTTAGACCCCCCTCAAAAAAACAACCAAAACCAACAAAACCCCACACTCATCTGCTGAATGCAAAGCTGCTACCTGGAGACTTTTTTTTGCCAGGGCCAGGCCAGCTCAGCTGAACGCAACAGGCATAGTTATCTGTGAAAAGGACCATTAAACACTCAAATGGCTGCTAAACGTGACACCATCTTTGGGCTGGGGGGGCACAGTTAGTTCGGTCAGTGACAAAATAGAAATCTACAAAGGAATTAATTATTTAGGTGCCAGGCACAACTGTCAAAAAAAGCAAAGGTTCCCAGTCTTTGCACAGTCTGTAGAGGCATTTGTAACAGCGCAAAGAGGATGTGAAGTCACACTACATCAGAGGGTAACGATTTTTCAACTTCTGGCTCTTCTGTATGACTGATCACACCAGCTGCTGAACAGGATTACAAGGTGTGCACGTATTTCTGCAGGCAGGGAACTGAGGAGATCACCTGCTGGATTAATGCCTCTCTGGAAAGTTTTCTGTGTTTCACAGCAGATTTGGTTTAAGAAGTCTGCAAAAGCTGTGTGTGTAAGTGTGTGCTGGGGAGGCGGGGGAGCAGGTGGAGGAGGAACTGCTGAACTATAAAGCAGAAAAAACAGAAAGCAGCAAAACTAAGAGCAGGAGTGAAGTCTCTTATGCTTGTTATCCCCTTTCCCCAGGGGGGATTGTCAGCTCTGAAGGACATCTTTTCCTGGGTGGTATTCCCTGGAAACATCACCCACACCTAGAAAAGCCTCGTCATTGCCACCACCTATTCAACACAAGCTCTTGTAGCATCACGGATGGTTTGTTTTCTTGCCAGAGGTGCTCTGTCACTACTAACAGTCCTTTCCAGCCAAAGAAAAATACGAGCAGCCACATACTGTCTGGACTCTGGCTGCTTGCAGTCCAGGCTGGATGGTGTTGAAACCACAAAAAATAAACCCAAAAAACACCACCCCATAAACAAACTCCCTGCCCTGTATTTAACTAGGGATACCTGCACGTACATGAGAAGTGGCTGTAACAGCATCATGACCTGCCTTCCCCTGAGCCAGAGAATCAGACTGGGACAGGACAAAGCAAACCACAGGTAGAAAACTCCGATTTGGGGGGGGTGGGGTGGTGGTGGTGCGTGTGTGTGCAGGCGTTTTAACCCCATCCCGGGCATTATCTTTGGCAAACCGTAACATGACCGGCAACAAACTGCAGGGAATTCCCAGCCTGGTGG